CAATCTTTAATGAAGTAGAATTTCCTTTCAAGCGCTTGTTTGATCCCCTTTTTTGGCTAAGAATGTATTTTGAAGTAGTAGTATGATGGAGAGTGTGTAGTTAAAAAATAGAGAAGAATTTTGGATTTATGTTTAATATTATTTTATTAAAGAATGTGTGATTCAAGAAAAGAGAGAAAAATATATTTTATAAATAATAGGGATCGGCCAAATATGTTTTCTGAACAAAAGTTTAGTTGATAATCTGGTCCCAAGTTTTGTAGGGTCATGGTTTCCATTGCATGTGTCAACGAATCAAAATAAAATTTCAGAGTTCCCTTCATTTTCAACTGATACGACATCATATAAATCTTCGTCTACAGCATCACAGATTCACACGTTAGAAAAATGCTCATTGTATAGGGTCAATGACAAGGATGGAGGTGAAAGGATGGTGTGGCAGTGATTGAATATTGTGTGTGTATTTTTATTTTTTTTTCAAATTGTCCAATCATGTATTGACACATATTTCCCCTATCATTGAGCCTGTCACTATAGGAAGATCGCACAAGTTAATACTCCATTATCAAGCATGTGCCCAAATCAGAATTCTCTTCCACTTATACTATTACCTTATCCTGATTTGTCATCTCAAGCTGAATGACTGTATGAACCTCGAACAGGTTCAACACCTCAATCTATTCCTCAAGCTTAAACACCAAAACCACCTAACCAATCTTGCCATCCAATGATTACTAGAGCCAATGATGGGATCTCTAAACCAACAGTAAACTCTAATTGCTCAAAATGGTGCAGATTTTGTAAGTGAAACGCATATAGAACCTGCTAGAACAAAAGAAACTCTTAACTCACCTAGGTGGAAGTGAGCAAATGAATGAGGAATATAAAGCTTTGATGAATAAAAGCACATGGACTCCAGTACCATATTCCCAGAATTACAATCTCATTAGAAAGAGATGGGTCTACACTCTACAAGATCAAATAAAATTTAGATGGGTTGATTAACAGGTTTAAAGCAAGTCTAGTAGTCATAGGGGTCTGTTGGAAAAATAATATAAGTTTTAAATTTTCAAATTAATATTTGTTGCTTCTATTTTAATTTCAATTTAATACAATATTAAATTAATAATATTATAATGTAACATATATTTCAAATAATATAATTCTCATAAATGTCGGAGTTAAATTTATTCCTATAAAAGGGAGTGATTTTCATTGAGATAGACAAGATGAGAAACCATAACTTAAAAAATAACTAATCTATATTTCATAATATTTTCCTATATTTTGACAACTGCTTAGAGGCTCGTTCTCTATCTATTGTCGTCCCTATGGAAAGAGAATCGGCTGTAAGTTACATGAATTTTATCTTTGAGCCGTGTAGTACCGAAAGTACCGACACAAAGGGGGCAACACGATTTTAGGACAACGTCTTTGGTATGACTCCTAATGCTTGCTCTCTAAATCTCCTCTATTTTTATGTTATATTATTGTTGAATTGTATTTTTTATTTTATTATGTTAATTGATAATCAATTTTCACATAAATCACCCAATGTTTCAAGCAGGCTCCTCCAAACTCATGGTGTTGATTACTCATAAACCTTTAGCCCAGTTGTTAAAACGAGTACAATTAGAGTTATCCCAGCAGTAGCATTTGCCAAGAACTAGAGGATGAGACAAATTGATATCAACCGTGCATTCCTAAATGGTGCACTTAAAGATAATGTGTACATTGTGCAACCAGAGGGTTATAACCAAACAGACCAAAGTTCGTGAACTAAAAAAAGGCACTGTATGGACTCAAGCGGGCTCTTTATATTCATTGAAAAACCTAGGCGATTAGCAATACTTGGGATTGAAGCAAGAAGGGCAGGAACTAGTCTCTATCTTAGTCAAGGTATATAGCTGAAATTCTAGAAAGGCATCAGGTGGATACCTTAAAATCCTTCTCTATTCCCATTGCCAGGAGAAAAAATTTCTCAATTAATGACGCAGAAGCCATGAAAAACCCAACAATTTCGAAGCATAATGGGGGCACTTCAGTATCTTTACCAGACCAGAAATTGCTTTCTCCTTTAACAAATTAATTCAATTCTTGCAATCGCCTACAGATTTAACACCGGAATACTGTCAAAAAGTCCTTAGATATGAACAAAATACATCAGGGATTGCATCTCAAACCCTTTGACAATCTTTTCCCAAGCCCCTATTTGGTGGGGATTGAAATCAAATTTTTAACAGATTTTGATAAAAATTGATAAAATGTATGGTTGAAAATTTGTGGGTCCCATAAATTTGTGGTTAAGATTAATTATTGACTTCATTTTAATTTAGAATTTAGATTTTAATCCATACGAAACACAATCTAGTTGGTTATTCAGATGCTAATTTGGCATCATGCCATGATGATAGACGTTTTGTTGGTCAATCATTCTTGGTATACATTATAGCGTACACTGAGTTTTATAATTTGTCACGTGGCATCATACAATTGGACAGTTTAAAAAAAAAATCTCACAAATCAAGATTTGACACCAAGGACGATGCCAACCATAATTTACAACATTGATGTACGGATGACTTAATTTTCTATTGGTGGATATTGTGTCTATTTTGGCGCTTCCTTTGTCTCGTGGCAAACTGTCGTGGCTAGATAATGCACAAAATCAAAATACAGAGCCCTTGCTCGAGTTAGTGCAGACTACACCAGGCTCAATCTCATCTGAAAGGATTGCATTTCCATCAACCATTTTGTCCCATAAAGTGATGTGATAACTCAAAGTGCCAGCTCATAGGCATCTAATCCCGTATATCACGCTCAAAGCATACGAGATTGACATGCATTTTTATTCGTGATAAAGTCGCCAAAAAACAACTTAAAGTTCGACATATTCCAACATGTGGTCAAGTGGCAGATTATATTATCAACAATTAAGCTATTTATACATTAACTTTGATGTCCTTATTGACGGATGGGTGACGTGGTAAGATTGTAATGGTTGACTTAAATGTGTAAGATATGAAAGATGATGTGAAATTTTGTCAAGTGTAAATTCGGTAAATCAAGGTGTAAATTAAAATGTACAAGTAGCAAAATTAATATTATCAAACCTCCTTCTTCGCCACAATTCAATTACTTCGAGAGCAAATTCTGCGGTGATTTAATGTTAGAGAAAAGTGTGGTATATGTAGCAGAGGATGTAACATCACTTATTGTAATATCTTTTATTCTATTTTTTCATATGGACCACCTCTTTTTGAATAATCATCTCAATAAATAAGTTTCTATCTCAGCATTTGTTCATATTGAGCTATTTGTCCGAATCAAGTATTTTAACTAGGGTCAGGCAACCAGATTCGAATCGAATCAAAGTCAACCGAATCGAACAGTTCTTCTTAAGTTAAATACGCGAACGAGTATCTAAATCGAGAATCGATGGGTTCAATTTGGTTCGATTCTCGTTTCTAGATCAAGAACTGAAAAATCGAATAAGAACCAACTCTCTCTAATTTTATTTATTTATTTATTTATTTTAAATAAGTCAAATTATTTTTTCTAAATAAATTTGCTAACGAGTTAATTTAGTTTAAGCCCAAAAATATGATTTTAGTATTTCTAATTTTCTCGCAATTTTAACAATTAAATCTATGAAGATCTCAGTAAAGAGAGATGCAAAAGACGTATAAGATTGAATTACGTTATTTTGTAAAAGCTAAAATTGAATATCAGAATATGTCATTTGTTAAATTAATATGATTTTGTAAATATTAAAAAAATTAATTATAGTACAGAACTGGGAACAGAATGGAATCGAATTGAACAGAATTGAATCAAACCCGAATGGTTCCATAATTAAATTTGGACCCAACGATTTTACTTACTAAATACTCGAAAATTTCGAATTTGATTCGATTCTCGTTAAAAGCGAATCAAACAGGATAATGCTGACCCCTAATTTTAATTGGGGCTTTGCTACACAAACAAGCCACATGGCCCTATTTTTGCCGGTGGGGATACCCCTCTTTGAGAAAAATAATTCTTTTAACAGAAGCAATAAAACTATTTGACTAGTGTAAATTCAATGAATAAATTACCTCTTGATAATTTTGAATCGAATCTTCCTTGGTCCATACAGACAAAATGTATGATTGACGCCAATAGTTTATCGCAGAAGAAAGAACTTAGGAAGCCTATTTTTTCATTATTTACTAGCAGATTTTTTTGACTTCATCTTAAAATAATTGTAATGGTTACATTAAATGTGTAAAATGTGAAAGATAATGTGAGATTTTGTTAAATATAAATTCGGTAAATCCAGATATAAATTAAGATGTATAAGTAGCAAAATTAATGTCACCAAACCTCTTTCTTCATTACAATTCAACTACTTCGAGAGCAAAGTCTGTGGTGATTTAATGTCAGAGAAAAGTATATAATATGTGGCAGAGGACGTAACATCACTTTATGTAATATGGTTTATTCCATTTCTGTTGTGAAATGGCCAAGTGTCATATGGACCACCTCTGTCTGTATCATCTCAATAAATAAAAGTCTCTATCTCAGCATTTTCCATATTGAGCTATTTGTCTGAATCAAGTATTTTAACAGTGGCTCTGTTTTTCCTTTTTTCCATATCCCCCTGGAAAACAGGGCCCATGTCGCCCTGTACGAGAAGAATAATTCTTTTAACAGAAGCAATAAAATTATTTGAGTACTGTAAATTCAATGAATGATTTACCTTCGGTGATTTTGAATCGAATCTTCCTGGTCCATAGAGACAAAATGTATGACTGGTTCCAATAGTTTATTACGGAAGAAAGAACTCAGAAAGCCTATTTTTCGGTATTTACCAGCGGATTCCCCCCTCCCCCCCTCCACATTAGTGTTCACTGTTATCCAATTCCAATGGAATCTCCAACATCTGCCCTTGTTGAGTTTTTATGGAGGTGCTTATGATTAAATTGCACGGGTTTGGTTCTCAAATTGTTGTGCCTAACTACTTAAAACATTATATTCTCTAATCACAATGCAACCATATAAATATTATTAATTCGAAAAAAAATTATACATCTCTCAGTGGAATATCTGATTAGTGAATGCTATTGGATCGCGACTCTCATCATCTTCTTCTTCTTCCTCCTCCTCGTCATCTTGTCCAGACGGGAATGTTCGTCGACTAGGCTCAAGACTGTTAGAGGGAGCAGCAGTCTGTTCGAGGCTAGTCGTGGTGCTGAAATTGTTGATGTTAATAAGATTATTATTCGAAGCAGAAGTGTTCGAGTAAGCTGGCTGTAACACTGAAACATGTTGCTGCTGATGATGTTGTGGTTGCGATGGTGAATTCTGAAGGGCATTCACCATTGCGTATCTACTGTTTATCAGCTGAGTTTGCACCAATGAAAGCTCCTCTTGAAGAGATGCCACCTGAATATATTTACATAGCAAGTCACCTCTTCTTTGGAAATTATCTGTACTCCCTCCAAAAGAAACAAGAAATGCAGCACCAAAACGCTATTTCTTAAAACAAATTGGATGAAACGCCTTGGAAACGTTTTGGTGGTTATAACTCATAAGTTCGGTGTGAATAATCTCTTTATCAGTAATTATTGATTGTTGAAAAATTGTGTTTCTTTTTTCTATATCATCATTTAGTTAAGTCATCCTCCTACCAACACTTTTTCGGTGGAGTGTATTGCACCGGACTTGCTTAATACGGTTTATCTGGCTGACATGGTTTGCAGGCTATTGCGTCAGTCCGAGGGTTTACCCAATACACACCCGAAGGATAGTGACTGTGTGTTCCTTCGTCATAGAAAAAAAAAAAGGTATACATCATATGATCAGCTTTTTCTTGTTATAATTCTACTTTGGAATCCCTTTTTGGTTAATCATATTCATCGTCACCTTTTATATTATTTTGAATTATATATAGCCTACATGTTAATTATTGACGGTTCGAACGCTTTTTGAAGAAATGTCACGTTGTCATAGAAATTAATATTTCAAAGACAGTACTTTATCAACTGTTTTTATATTAGCAATATTATGTGCTCTTTTCAGAAAGTATATAAAATTGATCTTTATTTCTACTGAGCAAAAGTTGGTAAACTTAGCTTGCAACCAGACCACTTTAGCTGATAATTCTATTACCAAAATATGGAACTAAAATTTCCATTTTAATTCTAGTGATATTTTTCTTGAGCTCAAATTAATATGGGACAATATTAAAGAAGAAAAGGGGCGCGACTCTTTTTTTTCGTTTGTTCAGTCTATCCGATAAACAAGCATGCCTAGTATGATTTACGTAAAACACTTAGGATATGTTTGGAAAGTCGTAATGGACTGGACTTTTCTTTCTGATATAATTTTATTTTTATTTTTTGCACAAACCTGCTGCTGCAAGGCAATAATTGTTGACACACAACCATAAACCGGATCCGAGAGTCTTGCCTGAGCCTCATACGATATTGTGACGACTGCATCATGTTGCCAGTTAGCTGGAATATGCAACAAGAGCTTCGACACATTTCTCGCCCCGAACACCTTATGCACAGCTGCAAATCGAGCAGCTCCTTGATCCGAGCCAAAATGAGGAGCAAATACGCATTCAATAATACACTTCCTCCTCAAGACTTTGCATGCACCGCAAGGCGCATTAAGCGGCCGTGGCGACCCTGTAGCCATCTCGGCGCGCTTTCCCGAACCCTTGCGACGATTCCTGGATGTACCGTCTCCTTGTGATCCATCCATGCAGAAGCAAAAACTAAGAAAAAAATTCAGTTAACAAGAAAAAAAAGGGGTGTTAAGAATTGTGTTTATAGTAGCGATAACTGCACGTAACTCTCATGAGGATTTAGAGAGAGAAAGAGACGAAAGTTTGGAATAGGAGGAAGAGTTTGGTGTGTAAATTGAACGTGCAAAGGGAGTGTTAATGTTACAATCTTTGGGCAATTTGTTTGATGTATAACAGGGCTGTGCTCTTGGAAGGCACAAGATTTGTGCTGCCCGTAGCGTGTGGGATGGTGAGAAACAAATGTATTTGGCTGTCAAATCATGCAAGGAAGCATATATATGCAATATTATGTATTTATGCATTTATAATGTACGAGTACCTAATTATACATGTACATACCATTTTTTGTTTTAGACGGTTCCATCAATCTATTTTTCGAGTAATAAGTTGACATTCAATTTCTAAAGTTTCTCTTCAACTTTTTATTACAACCCATGTTTGATAGAAATTAAAATCAAAATTTCAGCAGAATTTGATAAAGGTTGATGGCATGTGTAGTTGAAAAGTTGTTGTTCCCATAAGATATGTGGTTAAAATTAATTGTTGACTTTGATTTAAATTGAAATCTAGATTTTGATTTCTACCGAACACCGGCATAGTGGTATGATCCCTTCAATGATATAAATAGTTCAAATTTTTGTTAAAGAATAATTTAATTTTATATATGTAACTTTATGAAGTTAGGTTTTTGTTTTTCAACTTTAAATGTTGACAAATAAATGTATAATGATGAATATTTTCACGAGGGCCAAGTGACACTCTAATGCAGACATACACAATTATTATTTATTTATTTATTATTATTTTTTTAAATCATGGAAGAGTGATAAGTAACTTGCTCCCTTTTCAAGATTTTGGATTAATTTACTGCTCAAACAATAGGTTGAAAAGAAGAAAAGCGGAATGAAAAAAAAAATGAAAAAAGAAAAAAGAAGAGTTGAGTTCTAAACCCCTTGTGATTTTTTGGAAGACGAAAACAAAGAATTTTGATAAAAATAAGGCCAGTATAAAAGATCTAATATCACTATTTTAGGGTGGATGTGCTCAACCACTGAGCTAATATCCTATCGTGTGAGCCTTCCACTGGGGGCCCGCTATGCCAAAAGCGAGAGAAACCCCTTCTTTTTTCTTCTCATAAAAGTTATTTCACAAGGATTCGCAAGGTAATGTAGAAGAGGGGAACAATCACACTTGGAGAGCGCAGTACAACGAAGAGTTGTATGCTATGTTCGGGAAGGATGAATCACTCCCGAACTAATTTACCATACAATCACCTTTATACCAAGGTGATGGGAAGGATGAATCGCTCTCGAACTAATTTACTATACGAACACCTTTATACCAAGGTGATTGTATTACATCATTCTTTATATTTTTCTTTGAAGTGTACGATATTTTCTGTATCATCACAAAATTTTAATATACTAGTTAGAGTTGAAATTATATTGTTATTCTAAAATGTCATATATATGCTGTAAAAGTAATATTTAATATCAATTTGTTTGGAGAATTTGATGAGTTTCAAACGAACTAAATAAAATAAAATTTACGATATAAATTCATTAAAAAAATAGTACTCTCAAAACTCAACTTATATGATTTGAATTTGATGATGAAATACAATGAATATTTTTTTATGCTAAATCTGGTAAATAAGAATTAATTGTTAATATATGTAACACCCATTAAAATTCTTAAATACATTAATAGAAATAAATACATATATAATAACTTTAGATTTATGTAAATCAAAATCTACCAAGTCAAGATTCATTAACTCTAGATTGATGTGAATGTTAATTAATTGAAAATTAATAACACGAAATTCATGACAATAATTTTGTAATATTTATTGCATATTGAAAAATAAAAAGTAATGTATTATTGAAATTATTGATTTATAGTAAGGTTAAAATCGTTAAAAAATAATTGTCAATTGATGTAATATTTGATATATGATAAATTATGTATATTTAAAGATGGTATCTGAAGAGACAAAAAAAAAATTAACAAAGCCGTTTGGTTAGTTAAAAATTATTTTTTTAAGTAGATTTTATTAATAATTGATGAAACATGTATTTTATGGGTCGGAAATTAATTTGAATTTTTTTTTTTTTTTTTGAAAATATGGGCTAAACAAAGCATAATAACCCAATATTAATGAAACTTATTCTTTTAAAACATAACATTAATAAATCTTAATTATTTTAACTTGATGAATAAATTACTTGACTAATTTTAAATATCCAAATGATTTAAATGTTAACATTGTCGGGATCAATTAATAATGCAGGAAAATAATTGTGCAAATCGAACGGCGATTTTCTTGGTCAATTCGATTTCCTTGCAAACTGAATTAGGCAAACCTAAAGCCTATAATGCCGGAATTTGCTTGGGTCGTCTTATTAATTTCAATTCCTTTTTCGATATATGCACATAAATAATTAAAAAATTCTTGCTTATATTATTTTGTTAATTTAAATTTTTGACTATCGATTAAACTCAGTTCAAGTCCATTATTTTTACATTACTATATCGTAAATAAGTGAATAAAGAAAAGTCGGTGAATTCCGAAATATAAGGAAAAAATTTCTTCCTATTCAATATTAGCTAGTAATTTGAAGAGAGATAATAATCCAAATGGTCACTTAACTTTGTAAAAGGTTTCTACAGAATTACTGAACTTTAAAAACCACTTCCAAGTCATCACTAAAGATTTTCACCGGATTACTGATCTTTAAAAATTACACCATTCAACACTAAACTTTGTAAAAGGTGTTCCAGGTAATCCTTGGGAAATCTTTTGCAAAGTTTATTTATCGAAACAATTATTCGATTGATGGGCTTTTTCAATTGAGATGAGACGATACTTTGAATCAAAAAATGATCAACAACATTAGTGATCCCGTGAAAATTTTTCACAAAGTTTAGTGATAAATAGGGTGATTTTTAAAATTCAGTGATCCCATGAAATTTTTTTGCAAAGTTCAGTGATGATTTAGATAATTTTTAAAGTTCAATGACCCTTTAAAAACTTTTTGCAAAGTTCAGTGACCATTTGAATTATTATCTCAATTTGAAGAGGAAGAAAAAAATAAATTCGACAGCTGGACGAATAAATTTACACCACCACAAATTTTCCTACACTAGACATCTAAAAATTGTTTTCACAGTGAAGGTCTTGCCTGTTATGATATTAGTTAGTAGGTCAATTAAAGTGGGCCCCAAAAATTAAGTTGTCGACGAATTCATATCTGTGCACGTGTTTTATAAATACTAACCTAGAATCGTGTTTAATTGCAATTGAAATAACTTGCAAGGATAGTACGCGATTTAGTCTTTAAATGAAATGATTAAAGAGAACTATTGTTTATGTGACATCACTACACGATAGAAACTATTGTTTTCAGTGTGAACGTTGTTAAAACAGTAAATCGAATTATTATTAGTGTGACAATTAGTGACGGAGACAACACGCAACGAGTCCATGTGGCTGTCCTTGCGAGCTCCATCAAGATTTACAGCTTCGGCAAACCGTATGCTGCTCAAGCTGCCAACGAGAGGTTTGCCATAACTTTTTTTGCCTTAATTAAAAGTGCGACTTTTTTTGGGCTTGCACATTTTTATTAAATTTCGTTACCAATGTTTGTTATGAGATTTCTATGGCAAGTTTTAAAATTGACTCGTTAACCAAAGCATGTCCTTCTGGACACTAGTAATAAAATTAATTCTTATGATTAGGTTTAGCTCAACATATTTATTTCTTTTTAAAACAATGTATTGCTACATTTAATACTTCGATCACAAAATCTTTAAACTAACTTAATTTGCTGAGATATAGAGTCAATTTGAAGTTTATACCTTCTTGTCTTTTAACTTCAACTGGGCATGAGGAAAACTAGAATATGTTGTCTTAGTGGACCAATTTACATTGAAATAAATTGGACGTCAGGCGATATTATTGGCTCAATCCATCAAATTGTCATACATTACAAAACTGTCCAAATTCTTTGGACTTGGTCACTATGAGCTGAGCTGTCGTGTCAAACATGAGCTTCTTTGTCAAATTGTAATCCACTCTCTCCCAAAGAATAAACTAAAAGTTGTTCAATCATTTAATGCCAACATGTAAATGAACAAGTTCATTTCGATTTCTTATCCTTATAGTTTGCGAGTTATGTTACACGTACATTGGAGTGTCCATAACAGTATTCACCTCCCATACATAGAAGGGACCCAGTTTGGATAAATGATTTTCTTTCTTTCATGGAATCTACTGTTTACCCGGACATACATTTGGTGTTCCAATAGTCCATCATGCAATTTGTAAGCGTAATTATATTGCGTACTTTACATGATATATCGTTTAGGAAGTCTTAACTCTATCATATAATACGATTGTGTTACATGTACATAATAGTTTATTAATTGATGGGTTGCGTTACATGTACACAATCATTTACATAATGGTTTACCAGTTTAATTGGATCAAAATCTCATCAATTAAATAACTTTCCCTGATTCATAACTAACAAGAATGGCCATACTAAATGGCCATTTCTTCAAGGTTTCTAGTTAATTTTGAGCAATCCTAAACCCTTTACAAGCCTCGTGAATAGAAAGCACAAGTATATGGCCAAGAGGCCAATACCTAAACATTTATCCAGCTGCATGTTCCTCTTTGGCAAAACCACAAGAGCCCACAATAATCCTCCAATAAAGAACCCTATGGTTTCATACAAATCAGAATCCCTTGGAATCACGTAACTTGATGGATATTCTGACCATGAAGCAAGTAAGAGTGACAATCCCAAACCCACCAATGTATTGAAAAGTGGACCAGCATAGCACCCGGATACTGCAATCTGGGCTCCATCTGGACCACCTTTAATTGCCATAGTCAAATTGGATATCAAGTCCCCTACTGAATTACCCCACGCTAGTACCGTGAGCCCTAAAAATGAAGGGCTAATTCCAAGAATATTACCAAATGCAACCAGTAAAGAAACCAATTCTTCTGCAGTTATGTACGTCCAAGCTATGCTCATTAAGAACCCTCCTACGAGCCATAGCAAAAGGCATTTTCTTGGTGGGCTGGAGTTTCTTGTACTAAAAATTGCAGAAATCCCAAGAATGATTCCAACCAAAGTTGCAGTCACGTAAATGGCCAAACTAGTTTTTCCTACCTGTAAATTCCAAAGGGCTGCTAGAAAAATTGGTGAAAGTAAAGCAGAACATACAGCAAATGGCTTAGACCACTTTTCTTCACTAACAGCTGGGATTGTAAGTCTTCTTGGTAAGTAAATAGGCAATTCCAAAACATAGAGAAGTAGATTCAAATAATAACACTTCTGCTCACGAGTATTCGACATAGAAGGCCTTATTTCGAGCTGTACTACTTTATCTGAACTTTCTTCGTCGACATAGCCAAGTAATGGTGTTCCAATTGCACCAAGTTCGTCGAGAACTGGGGGATTGACAACCATTTCTTTCTTAGAGTAATACATATGCATTACAGAAACAGTCGCAATATACAGAAAGTAAACAGAAAGAAAGCAGATTGCAAACCATAAGCTAATTTTTCCAAAGATCATGATGATGATGAGACAGCAAAGTGCCAGAAGGATGAAAAGAACATCCCGAATGAAGCTCCGTTCGTCGACCATGATCCGGCGGGAAGATACCGTTATACTAATAACCCCAACGACGAAACATGATATAAAGATGGCCCCTCCCAATACACTGTTGAGGCCAACATCACCATCACCAGATCGTGTAAAGGAAATTATACTTGCAAAAACGTCATTAGCTCCATTTCCAAGTGGAAGAAGCGTGGTTCCAGCAATTGTTGGGGATAGTTTCAGCACTCTAGCCAAGCTCTCCACAGAAGGGCAAAAGTACTCAGAAGTTGTATTTCCCAGAACATAAAACAACACAAAAAGCCACAAAAGAAGCACTAAATACCCAATTCCTGGAAATTTTCCACAGTTACAGTAAAAGATTTCCAGATAATTCACATACCCATTTCCCCAGCAAGCAGAAGTTGACTTCACAAATCGGCACTTGGATTCATAATCAGTGAATTTGTGAACGCCACTGCAATTACGAATTTCAGCACTTCTATGGAGATTCTGCAAGTGGATGTAGCCGGAAATTGTATTCTTGGGTTGGTTAAGAGAATTTGAAACAACATAAAAACAGATTAGGAAGAGAAGAGTTGAATTGATGAAGAGAGACAGGGGTTTCTTGGAGAGGGATTTGAAGATGAAACTACCCATTCATATACAATTGCAGAGGAAAATTGTGGTGTTTAGGCATGTGAATATAAAGGAAGTTGCAGAAGAGGAAAACTACAGGGTATTATTCGACTTTGTACAGGCACGACGGGTTTGGAGTATTTGGTGAATAACTTTAATAAAGTGTGGTGTGAAATAGAGGGGTAGGTATTAACTTTAATAAGTGTACTGGTTTTGGACGCTTCTTTAGTACAAGGACCGAAAGATGTGATAAGTAATTATTTTATGTGTCGGTATATTTACGTAGGTTCTGTATTGTTAAGGGAAAAATTCCGAATAAATCATATGGAGATTTCAAGGCCTATGTTCTCCAACGATTCACCATTATAGAAGGGATATGTAGTCTTAAGTTTTGCTTTAAATGAAGAAAAAAAAGAAAAAAAAAAAAAAGAAAGAACCTATAGAGATTGGATATGCACCATGTAAAAATAGAAATTGACGTGCTTGTGCTTTGTCAAATGGATTATTAGCAAACAAAACATCTCTATCGTTTGTATTTATTGTGTAAATCGTCACTATTGTTTCAAATTTGGCAAGCATTTCAACATTTTCTTGCGAAATTGGTCCTTTCCGTTTCCTTTCGTTATTTCCTTCCCTCAAATATGGATGATTGGTGCAAAACATCCATATTGTTTGTCTTTATTGCGCAAAACGTCCATATCATTTATTTTCTCTATTAAAGTGTTGTAAAATTGCTAATTCACATTCCCTTTTAAATAAACAAATGGAAAAGAAAGAAATAGTAAAAAAAAAAAATTGCGACTGGTTCAATTTTTTTAGAAAAATACAAACAAGTCTTCTGTAAAACAATTCAAAATATATTAATAAAATATTATTTCATCTTCCCAATTAACCTTATTTACCCCTACCCTCATCATCTACCCTCGACCGTCACTAAAATAATTAAAAAGAGAATTAAATGTGTAAAAAAAAAATAACAAAAATATTAAAAATGGATCTTCTTCCCTTTCCAATTCCGCACCCTACCACCCATTCTCACCATCTCACTAGAACACATTCAGGGATTTAACTATTTTTCTATAATCCAATTTTGTGTTTCAACATGTTTTTATTTTCAAGAAGTTACAAAAGCTTGTTTTAGGTTTTTAACTATTTTAAAGCAAATTCTTTTTTCTATCTTCTTGTTGTTGATTACACACACATATACACACATTGTATTAACTTCAAAATTTGTTTTGATTTTGTTCAAGTTTCTTTCAGAAGATGGGATTTCTTATTCGATTAGAGGGTTTATTCAAGATTTTAGTCAAAACCTCAATCCTAACTGTAAAAACTAAAATCCAGCTAAGATTTTTTTTATTTTTTTATTTTTTGTGGTTAAATTATTTTAAGAGGAACTATTTGAAAATTTAAGGACTTTGACTGCATCTTTATTTTTTATATTATTTATTTTTTATACTTGTTTCTTTAAATATGAGAGTAAATTAATTATTTTAAAATGCTTTAATGAAGAAAATAGACAATAAAGATCTTTTGTTTTTGTGCAATGAAAGCAAGTGATATGGACGTTTTGTGCAATGAAAACAAATTATAGGGGCTTTTTGCACCAATTATACATATTTAACGGAGCGAATTGAGCAACTCCGTAAGAAAATGTTGAAATGACGTGTAAATAACAAATTTGAAACGATAGGACTATTTTGCGCAATGAGGGTAAACGATAGGAACGGTTTGTGCTAATTACCTTTGTCAAAAATCATGGGTCTATAACAATGTTTGTATCTATTTGATGGGGATTAAAATCTAGATTTTAGCCAACAACTAATTTTAATAACATATTTTATGGAATACACAAAAAATAGGATTATATCTCTTCGATAACAACAAATCAAATTTTGTTTTCATTACATTAAAAATTAATTACATTAAGCCCCTATTTAGCCCTTTTTTGGAGAAAATATATTTTGAATAATTGATTGTGCGATTAAAAAATAGGAAAAAAATTTAGTTGTGTGTAAAATTATTTTATAAGAGAATGTGTGGTTAAAAATGAATTTCAAAAAAATAAATTTCGAAAAAAATAAGACTCAAAACAGTATATATGCTTGTCCTTTTCTTTAGTTTTTAACTTCGTTTGGTAGAACTTAGAAGTACCGATTCCACCATTTTCTTCAGAGTTACTTCAGAGCTACCTCAGAGCTTGTCGTGTAAATTTTGATTGTACTTCTTTGTCCTTTATAACCCCTTGTATTGAGATTATATTATTTATATACTAAGCCCTCGTTTGAATTACATTATTGTAAAAATCAGAATGAAAAATATAATCGTGATGGACTCCATATAAGAGATAAAAAATCAAATATAATAATTTAATATGATGAATAACGATTATATTTTTCATTTTAATGAAATAATAATATTGCTCAAACAAGACCTAAGTATCGCATATAAAATGCTTTTTTAAAACGACAAACAAGAGAGAGCATCTTTTAAATTGGACCAAAAATGCTTGTGAATCTGCATTATTGTACCTCTTTGTCCTTTTAAACACCCATTGAGATTATATTATTAATATACTGAGTACCGCATTTAAAATGCCTTTTCAAACGACAAAATAAGAGGAAGTACCTTTTAAATTGCACCAAACATGCTCTGTAAATCTGCATAACGAGAGTGTTTGAGCTCCATTTTTATGAAAAATGTATTTTAAAATAGTAAATTAATAAAAAATGTGTAGTTGAAAAATAATTTTTTTAATTTATGTGTAATATTATTTTAATGAAAAATGTGTTGTTGAATAGAAAAAAAAAGTACTTTGGAAAAAAAAATGGAAATCAATCAAAGCCATACTGTAAGGCATGATAATTGTTATTTTTAAAGAAAGGGAAATAACCCATTTTAAAAATTATTAAAATTTTCACTGCGACTTTAAGATCTTGTTTGAACCATATTTTATCGAAAATTCATTTTCAACTATATATTTTTCAATAAAATAATTTTACACATAAATCAAAAATTATTTCTTATTTTTTCAACTTCACATCCTTCAAACATTCTTCAAAAAGGACTATTACAAATTACATTTTGGGAAAAATTCATAAATAAGAGTTTAAGCATTGCACATTTCAAAATCAAGAAAACAAGTTTCAAACTCCAAAAATCAAAATTTTATTTAAATTTATTTCTGATTTAATTAATTAAATATATTTATGTCACAGATTTATGCAGTTTGGTCACAAATTAATAATTTAGTTAGTCACTTATTATTTTTTGGTTACAAATCAGAAATTTAATGTTACAAATTATTTTACGATCACAATTCAAAAATCTTATAGGTCACAGTTTGTTCATTGGTCACAAATCAAAAAACTTATAAATCGTGATTTATTTATTGGTAATAGATCACAAATATTATATGTCACACTTATTATATAGTCACAAATTATCGAGCGCAAATTAACAAATTTTTATGTCACACATTATTTCTTAGTCACAATTTATCCTTTTACTTAGTCACATATTGTTTATTGGTCATAGATTAACCAATTTAATGGTTACAATCAACCAAATCATTTGTGACCACCACCAACACTTGTAATCACCATCTCACCACTGTCATCAGCCGCAACACCACCAAAATTGCGTTGCCATGACCACTACCACCACATCTCACCCACCCACAACCTCCACCACCGCACCATAGCACAATCATAGCCAACGTCACAACGATCACCACTAAAACATCATCAAAAAATTTCCCCACAGCCAAAAATCCAATACAATAGCTAAATCCATTCCCACCTCCACCATTGCAGAAAAACGACACTTATGTCGAGAGTATCGTCGCCCAAAATCGGCAACACAATCAACACAGCAACCTCACCACCACTACCAACAAAACACGCCCCAAAATCACTCCACAACCACCACAAAATTAGATCCAAAACCATTGCAACTCCAATCGACCTCCACTACTTACAGAAATGGCACTCATGCCGCGAGCAGCGCCGCCTAAAACCAACACCACAATCACCATCGTAACCTCACCACGACTACCAACAGAACACACCTTAAAATCATTCCACGACCACCACAAAATTAGATCAAAAATTGTTGTAGCTTCAACCGACCTCCACTATTGTAGAAACAACGCTCATGCAGCGAGCAACGCCGCCCAAAACCGGCACCACAATCACCATCATAACCTCACCACCACTACCAAGAAAACATACCCCAAAATCACTTCACAAACCACCACAGAATTAGATCCAAAACTGTTGCAACTCCGATCGACTTCCACCATTACAGAAAACGGTGCTCATGTTGTGAGTAAAGTCGCCCAAAATTAGCACCACAATCACTATAGCAACCTCACTACCACTACCAACAACCGCCGTTGATAGATAGATCAAGTTGTGGGTACAAGCTACTTCTTGTGGTAGCGATGCTACGTTGCTGACAAATGAAGCCACCTCGCATAGAGGTACTTCGATGGCATCGTTTTCCGTCAAAGAAAGTGGTGAGAATATAGAGGGAGAGACTTCTGACAGAGATGTGAAAATAGAAAGAAAGAGAGAGGAGGGCAATTGAGGGTAAAATAATGTAGGGTTTGAAATTGTGTAGGTAAATTAATTAATTTTTAAATATATAAATTAATAAAAAATCTGATTTTTGAAAAGGTAAACATAGTATATGATTTATGAAATTGAATCTTTAAATGTATCAGTTTATATAATTTGTGAAAATTACACAAAATCATACTTCAATTATTCAAAATTCCTAAATCAGATTGGAAGTTTGATATTTGAAAAATTAGATTTTTTATTAATTATTTAAATAAATTAATTATAAAAAAAAACCTACCCACTACCCAGCAAAAGATGCAGTCCGTCCTCTTGCTCTCTCGTCTTCCTCTACCCCTTACTTCTCTTCTCCAGCGAAGATGCAGCCACAGTCACAAACCCAGTCGTAGTCGATATCGCTATGAAGACACTGTTGTCGCTGCTCAACACGCTTCTCGATCTGCACAACTCTGCGACTATGTAGATCAACGATGTTAGAAAAATATTGTGGGCATCGACGAAGCAGTATTTGCGAGGCAGAACCACCCTCTCGCTCCAGCGACTCTTCTCAGGTGATGGTGTTTTGTATGGTGGAGATTTTGTGGTAGTGGCTATGGTGTTTGTGTGGTGGTGTTGATGGTGTTTGTGAGGTGGCGACTTAGGGTGGTGTTTGTGGAGTGGCAATTTTGGGTAGCGTTTTGTGTGGTGACGACCTTATAGTGGTGATTGTGGTAGTGGATCTAACGGTTGCGATGTGGTGGTGGTATAGGCCGGTGTGCAGTGCCTCAACGCCGCTGTCCATGTGGCACTTGTCGCAATGGTGGTTGTGTTATTGTTGATGTTATAGTAGTGGTGATGTCAATGGTGGTGGCGGTAGCACGACATCGCTGGTGGTTGTTGGCTATGGTACGATGCTTTGGAGTGGTGGGATGGGGTGTGGGTGCTGTTGGTGTTGTAGTGGTGGTGGCAATATGCGACGTCGCTGGCGGTGGTTACCGGTGGTTCGTCGTTTTGGATTGGTGGGATGAGGTGTAGATATTTGTAACGATTTTATTGGTTGATTGAAAGTTGTGACCAATGAATTGATTAATTTGTGGTCAATATGGTGGTGATTTTGGCGGTGACGATGGTGGTGGTGGTCGTAAGTGTTAATAGTGCTCATAGATTATTTGGTTGATTGTGACCAATGAATTGATTAATCTGTGATCAATAAACAATATGTGACCAAGAAATAATGTGTGATCTAAACAATTAATAATTTGTAATTGTCTAATAAGTTATGATCTATAATATTTGTTATATGTAACCTATAAAGTTTTTGATTCGTGATCAAAAAAGTAATATGTAACCTATAAATTTTTTTATTTGTGACAAAAAAATAAGTTATAACTAAAAATTAATTCGTGACTAATTATTTTTTGATTTGTGACCGATAAACAAACAGTGACTTAAAATTTTTTTGAATTGTAATCGTAAAATAATTTGTGACATAAAAATTCTGATTTGTGATAAAAAATAATAAATGATTAATTAAATTGTTAATTTGTGATCAAATTGCATAGATATGTGACCTAAATATATTTAATTAATAAAATAAATAATTAAATAATACATAAATTTTAATAAAAATATGATTTTTAAGTTTTAAATTTATTTTCTTAATTTTAAAGTCTATGATACTAAAAACCTTGCTTATAAAAATTTCCGTCTCCACTTACATTATTCCCGACAAATGGGCTCAAACAAGGGCTAATGCACACTGGAGAAAATTGGAGTAAATAAACTGGAGAGGGATCAGAAACCTCAGTAAATACAAAATATCAATTATCAAGTGACTGAAAGGTTTTGCTCGAAACTTCGCTTCTTTATTGCTCTAGCATATAAATTCTAAGGAAAGAAATGGATTGTGGACTGAAGATAACACCTTCAATTGGTTCATTACCTAAATTTTCACAATTCAGTCGTTATTCTCATACAAATCCCAGATTTATATCCAAACAGCTTTTCAGAATTTACACAAACGACGCCGTTTCTAGCTTATCGTCTTCCTCTTCCTCACGGGTTAGTATTTCTACTTCGCATTCTAATTTCTGATGGTAAATCTGTAGTTTGCAATTTATGATGTATTTATGTAGATGCAGTTTGGAATTTTGTTTTATTCAATTGGTTGATTCTCAGAGGATTCATTTTCTTTGCAAGATAGGAGACGATATATAATTTATTAAGAAAATTAAAATGGAAAATTAGGAAGTCAAAAAGCTGTACAATAATAATTGAAAACCATGTTTTGCTTATAAAATGTGGGTTTTAACTTTGAAGAAGTGAATGGTATTAAATTCTTTACTTGTAAATTTCTTAATTTTGTTTGAGTGAGTACGGTGTAATTACATGCAATAAATGAGAAAATAATTGCATATAATACTACTTTAAACTACTATGAATTATGAATCAGGCATAATTATTGTACGACAGACTGTCCTGTTTATCATAGAGAGTAATGCTACATAGTCAGCTTCAACCCCAGTTTAGGTTAGGGGTGAACGCTGTTCGATTTGAACGATTTGTACTATATTTTTAATTCAATTCATTTCATGTGGTTTGAAATTTTTTTTTCAAATCAAGCCAAACCATTTTATTTTTCAAACCAAACCATAATTTGCGGTTTGGTTCGATTTTAATCAGTGATTTACCTATCGACATTATAATAATATATTTAACATATAAATTTACATGAGAGCTAATAATGTTAGATATTAAATTACATTTATATTTGCCATAAAACCCATGAATAAATTATTTTCAAAGTTGGTTGCTGAAAGATGTTAATAGAACAAATATATCTTTCTTCATTTTTATTTATCTTCTATCGTTTGACTTTCATATTGTCACATAACGGTTGGTAAAGGTAAAGTCACATTCTGTTGTTATAGTTTGGTTAAAACTCATTTTGTATTGTTAATGAGATGTTAAATAAGGATTGAACACAATATATTTAGATATACAAAGATTGATAGAGTTTAGGCTTATTGGAAAATTGATGAAGTTCATTCTCTAACTACTTTATAAAAGAACAAGGTAGTAGTACTAGTTAGGGAATTTTAATGTTTTTATACAATCAACACGCTCCCTCCTTTGTTCTTTCCAAATCACAAACAAATTTATAATCATTTAGACACACAAATAGTCATTTTTCTATCCAAATTATAACTCACAAGTGTATGATAACTTCAAAAACAACAAATAAAATAAAAAACGAAAAAATGACTTGAATGAGAATCTAAGACTTACTGAGAGAGAAGAGAGAAAGAGGTGATTCAATTAGAAATTAGCAAACTAATAGGCAAAAGGCAACTAGCGATTCGTTCAGCAATGGCAGGCAATCGTCAAATATTTGGAAAATAAGAGTTTATATTAGGGTTTCTAAAGTTTTGGACATGGTTTGTTGTCGTAGTTTTGTTGAATTATGATTTGAATTGTTGAAAATTTATGTTTTTTTTTTTTTTTTTCATTTCACATGATCTAGAAATAATTTTAGTTTAGTTTAGATATCAATTGAGGAGATGTGTTGTGAACTTGTTAAACTATAGGCCAATAATGATGAGCCTAATTTATTTTTTATGATTATTTCAATGGCTTGGTTGTAATTTGTATTGTTAAATTGATTTTTTTTTTTGAAAGGTGAAAATTGTAAGATTTATAAGTTAATAAAATTAATGTTTTAATTAAAAAATTTAAAAATGGTTCGATTCGATTTTTTGTGGTTTTTGAAAATCAAAACCTAAACCAAACTATTTTGAAACGGTTTGATTCAGTTTGAGGGAAAAAACCACGAGTTCACGTGGACCCGAACTGACGATTTCGAATTAACGGTTTCGCGATTTTTTTGTGTAGCCCTTGTTTAGGTTTAGATGATACGTTAAATAAAATGTGAAATTAAATGAGTTATTTAATTTTACCTATCAATTAATGCCACGGTAGTGCTACCTAGACTGGAATTGTAATTTCAGTGAGGTTAAATAGCATTACTTCATTACAAATAGAATACATGGAGCTGTTCTTTAACCAATTAGCCATTTTAGCAATATTAATGCTCTTGAACCTCCATTTAAGTGTTCAAAATATCAAACTTTGGATGTGATGCTATATTAATGTTTAAAATATAGTATGGAACATTTTAAGTGTCAACCCGACATGCGATTTTTTGAAAAAGCTCCAACATGTTATGTCATCGACACATTGACTAAAATATTATTATTATTATTATTATTATTTTAAATTTAATAGTCTAAAGTAAAATGGTAAAAAATTAATCTATGTAACATTTTTCCAATTGCTTTGTTAAATGATAAAGCTACAGAAAAAGGTAAATTAAATGCTAAAAGAAGAAATTTCATGGAGCATTTGATGTTATTGGACTCAACAATTTGAATTGAAAATTAGATTAGTTTAGCCCCTGTTTTATTTCCATTCTTTGGCCACAAAAATGAAAAATATAACCGTTATTCATCATATCAAGTCACTATATTTGACTTTTTATTTCTTGTGTAAGTCCGTAACGACTATATTTTTCATTCTCATTTTTAGAAAAATTGAAATCAAACAAGGGCTTACTTCCACAGACTCCAATGTCTCTTCATTTCCTATTTTTAGCCACGTCTCCGCATTTTTTTCTTTATCGTCTTCATTTCTTCTTCACGGTCACCGTCTCATTTCTTCCCGCCATCCTTTTTTTAACTGTTTTCTTCCGATCATCTGCATTTCTTCGTCTTTAACATGCCCCCAAGGACCTCCGATACGCTTCGACAACTAGTGAAAAACCTACCGGTATCCGATACGTGTCGTGACACCGATACGTCGACACCGATGCCGACTATGTGTCCTTTCTTCCCAGGTGATAAGTAATCAGAAACTTAAAATAATAAAAAGTTGTAATCTAAACAAGAATTAAAATCCTATTATAACAAGAAATAGTTTCTCGCCTTATTTGTAATAGAATTGTCATATATCATCCCCTCCCACCCAAATAGAGTGAGAAGAGGAGATAAGTATGACCTTTAAATGGTGATTATTTTTAAAGTCGTGGATGCCTAATTTTTGAGCTGTTTGAAATGGTGCTTGCCTTTTCATCTGCTTTGCAAGGAGAGGAGCAGGTTATGATATGTTGAACAGAAAACTCAGCTGCCCCTGTACATTTCCTGTGTACCATTTCATGGTGCTACTTGTCATATCTAGGACAAGATACTTCATGCGAAAAAACCAACACTACGAGGACAGTTAAGGATTCAATTTTAAGAACAATTCCAGGAGCTGCAGTTTATATTGTAACTCTTTTTTTATCATCCATTTGTTTCTCTCCATCTTTTTTGTCGTGCATCGGATCAGTGAAGGAAAATGATTCACATATCCGACCCTATATTTACTGTGAAGATTGCATAGCTGGTTGTTGTATTCTCATGTGTCTGAAATTGTACTGATACATATAATTCTTAAAGGAGTAGCATGTGTTGGGGAGTGTCGATATTTCCTTTTTAACCATGCAGGTTGTGGTGGAACTGGAAATACTATGTGTTCTGAATGTGGAGGTCGTGGTCACATTGGAGTAGCCTGACATACAAGGTTTGCTTTTCATTATATCAATTGTCTTCTTGGATGTGAACTTCTAACAAGGAATATCATATCCAATTAAAACTGTTCAAGACATGTAGATTATTTAAAATATTGTTGTAATATGTGACAAGTGAAAACATAATTTATTATGAAGTGCCCTGGTAAATTCTTTTTAATATTAATTGATTTTACTGTTCTATTTATCTATTATTTGCGAGAAAGAAGTATTGAATGAAGTGCGTTGAGAATTCCGCTGAAAATTCATGAGGATTATTAAGTAGAAATTTGAAATGAGAGAGACGAAATACGTTGCTTGCAAAAACTTTTATCATAAATGCTCCTAACAAATCCATCAATTTCTGTTATCAAAAGCTTTTATAACTAGTTCCGCAGTGAATGTCTCAAATCTATCAGTAATTGTTTCTCTACTTATCCAAATGATCGTAAAATGAATAGAAATAATCACATGTCTACAATTGTAATGCAGTATATTATATATTTCTGAGAGTATTTCTTTACCATACTGATTGTATCTGTAATCTGTGAGATGTGCTGTCTAAACTGCCCTTGACCGCTATACTTGTGATCTCTGTAGTTCCAGCATCATGTTAGATGGGCGACCAGCATCCGGATGCTGGTTCTGGTGTTCTGAGTAAGCGACATAATATGCTGAAACACTAGCTTGTACCCATGCCATGGCCACCCTACTCTGCAATTCACACAATTTTTAAATCGGTTTCAGTTTTGGAGAAAAGAAAAACCCTGAGATTGAAAGATCCCCATAAGAGTTGGATACTTACCACAAGATATCCGGTTAAGAACGTATACATTGTCACTCCAGTTGCATAGCTCCTATGGATCACAAATGCCCATATGCCTCCTATTAGTGCACATACAGATCCTGTTGCTACACCGGTTAGAAAGCAGAATGAACTAGTGAGATCAGAATTTATCGTCTTTTCAATTCCACGTGTTTTAAACAATTCCCATGTCTCAATTGATGCCTGCACAATTCCTTTGTGGTACACCCCTGTATGCACAAAACCCCATCTGTTTCCGTATGCTACAAGCCTTGAGGCAATACCTGAACAGCAATCTGCACATGAGAACATGAACTCATCTACATCGCCTGATATCAAACTTATAGTTCGAGCTATTCCTGTGATCACACCAACAATGGGTACAAGAATAGATCCAATGCAAATACTCCCCATTGAATGTTTAATTGTGCTTTTGAATGCTGCTTTAAATGCAATGTCTATTTTGTGAGCAAATTGCATATATTTGACGTGTGACACAGAAACTTGCATTGCATTCCTGATGATCTGCATGGTCCATGTTAAGCTTGCGATGATTATGAAAATGAATAGAGAGTCAAGCTTAGTTCTGGTCGCAGTGGCTCCTCCAATGCCGGTTACGAGGAAAGCTGAACAAAGAGTACCTATGATGATTGATAGAAGTATAACCATGACTTTTGGAGGATGGTGAACAATAGAAACTGTCACTATTCGGGTGGCATTCTCCAAACGAGGATTAACCCAGCATGCATATAAGGATTGAATAAGGGCTGAAAAGAAGGCAATAGCAGACGCTGCTGAACTCACTGGGGTGCCTATGTAAATTAGTAAAATCCCAATTGCGCAGGTAAGAAGAGGGCTAAGCCAAAATGCAACCCTAATAGTTCTTGAAGGATTGGTTCTTGTGAATGCTTGCCATGTGAAACCTATGATTCCAGCACAAGCCGTTGAAGCAAGGACTGGCATATACCACTCCTTTGAATGGAAATCTTGGGTGTGAACAGCTGATAGGGCACCTCGGATTGTGAGAACGATGACCAAGATGGTGATGAGGAGAACGTGAAAGTAGAAAATATACTGAAAGAGCTTGTTAAAGAAGTTCCCCCCCGTCATCTTGATACTGGTTTCTGCCTGCATTCAAAAGGAACAAGTCGGTATGATCCAATTCAGTAATAGACTTTGAGAAAGAAAATCAAGAAACAACAATTGGGATTGCAAGAATTGGGATGTATTAAGAAAGATCAGAAACAAGAATTTGGTTTTAGTGTGCGGAAAACCAGGGAAAAAAAAGTATTTGCAGACCCTGATTTCTTGATGGAATGCTGTACTGGAAGACGTTGACCATATATTGCTGCAGTTCAATGGATACCCCCACCAGATTCCTTCTTGTATTCCACGTTTCAAGAACAGATTTTCAACTTAAAAAACCATTTTTCTGTTTCCTATATTCCCTTAAAATCCTCACGACTCATCTTTGAAAGTTCAAACCAGGCCTTTTTTAACTCATTTTTTAATCACATATTCTCTCAATAAAATAATTTACACATAAATCGAAAACTTTTTCCGAAAGGCTATTAACAAAAAATCTCTATCAAGGAAGGGGCTAAATATGGTGGATAAAGAAATGTCAGCAGAGGTGATGTCATTATAGAGAGGGGTTATAAATATTTATGACCTGTTTGATAGTGATTACGAGAATTGATTTTTTTATGTTTAAGAGAGAAAAATGAGTTCCATCTGTGCGTAAAGAAGTAAAAAATGACGGTTAGAATGATGAAATAATGATTAAAAAAATAATTTTTTGGGATGAAAAATTGTTACCGAACGAGGGCTTATTATAATTTTTAGTGTCTATGGCATTATGAGTCTCGTGAGGCAGTTTTGTATTATTTCTTTTTGGCATTGGGGATCCAATTAGAGAAAGGATTGTTCATTTTTGTAGAAGAAATTGGGGTTTGTCAGGAACGGTTTTGGTTAACAAACTCAACGGTTATTAACTAACTAAATATTGTTTTCC